AGGGTTTAGGGTTTAGGGAGCGCATAGGGTTGTGGAGTAGTGGATTTGAAAGCGAGGGCTTCGCCGCGAACGACCATCCTACAGCCGAAACGCCCTTATCCCCCAAACCTTGAAGCCCCAAAGAATCCTGAACTCGACGGTTTAGGGTTTAGGGTTAAGCTTTTAAATCCGAAATTGAACCTAGGACGAGGGTGCCGAGGAGGTCCAGGACGCCTTCCAGAACTTCTGAGTTCGGAATGTTTTGGGGTTCAATATAGGGGCCTAAATACCTCTACTACTTTGGGGGTTCCTTATTTTAACGCTCCAAAAACCCTATTCTAATTATTATTGCTCCTCCCTACCGCGGGGTTCCTGTATCGGTTCCCCTACGGGTTCTACAGTGCCAGAGTTCCATTCCCTTCGGGTTCGACAAGGTTACTTTGGGTTAGCGCTTCTTATGTTGGGGAGTTGAGGACGGCGTCCTCAACGTAGGATTTGGTGCTTTGGCTTGGGCCAGCTTAGGAGATATGATCTCTTGACTTCAGGTGTAGGTTAGGGGTATATAGGGCTTTCCGGGTTAAGGGATTTAGGGGTCAGTTAGGGTTTATAAGGTCTTCAGTGTCCAGATGTTGCTTTTTCGTTTTAATAGAATTAAGCTGCTGCCTCGTTCAGGGTGACGCATTGTTGCCTCTTTGGTTATAGCTCCCAGTCAGGAGGGGATCAGTTGTCAGCCAAGTACGGAGGCTTAGAAGTAATTGTGCTGATTGGGCTTATGAGGGGTATCAAGACCCCAAAACCAGAGCTTAAGGGCACCAGCAGAGCAAGTTTGAGGGACTATTGAACCTGAAGACTGCTTAACAGCTTAACACCGTTCAAAGTCCCGGAAATTAATGAGTTGCATTCGGTTTTCGAAAATTGATAGGGTTTAGGTGTAAAGTTTGGCGGTTTGGAGATGGTAGAGGCTTTCGACTTAAAGTCTTTGGCTGAAGAGTTTACACAAGTTCTGCTTCGGGCGGTAGGTGTAAAGTTGGGGTTGAGGTTTCGACGTCAAGACTTCGGTGTCAGCGGAAGATTTGAGATGCCAGCCCCGAAGCCGGAAATCCTCAACTCTCTGGTGCTTAGTAAGCAATGGGGGAATGGATCCCTACGATAGTCCCTTATAAGGTCCCTTATAGTAGTCCCAACAACCCATAAACCCATTCCCTGCTAAGCACCAGACAGTCAACTCTACACCCGTTCAGTCTTACCGGAATCTTTTAGGGCTCATAGGGAAGTTCACAGTCCAGGAGAGGAACTACAAAACAAGACTGGGCATTGTTTCGGGCTCATAGGCCACAGGTGTTCCCGAAAGATCCAGCTAGTTATAATAATTTAATAGTCTCCCAGATGCTAACTTACAAAACGAGAATCCCAAACCTAAGTACGGAATTCCAATGATTAGGTCCTTCGGACCATGAGGGTTTCGGATTTAGGGTTTAGGGTTTAGGGTTCAGGAAAAATCCGGGAGGCTATATCGAAAAGAGTAAACCGCGCGAGGGGCCCGAACTCCACAGCACCGCGCGGAACTATTTGGCAGCTTGGCCTCAAGAGCTCCTGACGGGACTTTGGGAACTTAGAGTTTGGAGCCCCTAAGATTTCTGGTAACCACGCCTTAAAGCCCTAAGCCTAAGCTCTATATATCGGCAAAGACCCTTGCTAATTGCAAAGCTTGTAGGATATTTGGCCGTAGGGTGTAGAGATTGGTCACACGAGTTGGGTGTTGGTTTGTACGAAAGCCCCATGTTCACACCAAGCTGTAGCGTGAAGCGTGGACAGTACAGCAGCACGGTGTGCTTCTTGTCTATTCTCCTGGTCGAGTCTCTTTAAGAGACAGAAAGATAAAGGCCTCGATCGGAATTGTCTTCGGCGTCTACCGGGACCTGGAGTAATTAAGAAGTTTCGAAGTTTTCTGCTCCGCGAAACCGTTGATTTCTGCGACCGGCGATGCAAGCAAACATCATCACCCCTGTAGGTAAACCCTAAACCCGAAACCCTAAGCCCGAAACCCTAAACCCCGTTGTATTATCCACCTTCCACCTCGGCCCGCGCCAGCCTAAACCTTCCCCACCTCGTGAGACAGGTCGCCTGCTTAATGGAACCACTGCCTTCGTGCGGTTTAGGGTTTAGGGTTTAGGGTTTAGGTCACATGGGTGGTTGTCAAAATAATGGTCCCTTTTTGGGTCCTTCTTATAATACGGCACCTATTATTAAGGTTCAAGGATCTTGGTAGGGTTTAAGGTTGCCTATAGTCTCCATTGTAGTTCCTTTTTGTGGTTTAACCAATTATAGGTTTAGGGTTTAGGGTTTAGGGACTGAGAGTCCGGTCTGGCATTTCCTGCATTTCCTGACCTTGCTAGTGTGGTCGAAGTGACTGCATATGTCTTTCCCCGGCCGACTTCCCAAGCCCGGATGCAAAAGGGTGTAGGGTTTATGGTATGGATTAAGGATTTTATGAGGTATCCACATGACGAAAGGGGCTACCATCACATGTCAAACAGAACGATTCCTTCCATCAGTGTCAAGCAGTTACAACAGCCAAAATCGGTGCGCACACCTCTCGCAGGGAACTTGCCCCAGCAAGCGGCTCTTTCGAGGATTCCAGCGCAATCTTTGAACCGAGTTTGATTTTGACCTAGGGGACCACATGTCCCCAAATTCCGCCCAGTGCCTTACAGGTCAAGGGCCAACCATCTTAGTCGGCACAGGCAGTGGCACCACTGGCGCCGAACAAATAAATCCTTTTTCGAACCGGCTTGCAACATGGGCCGGAACAGTTTTCCCGTTCCACGCTGCGTTTTCCCGTTCCACGCTGCACTCGTGACGTCGTATCTGCATTGTCAAGTTCACATGTATTCCCCTGCGACGCTTGTCCGTCCTAGCAATGCGGGAGGCAAAAAAGAGCCAGTGATATCCAAAAGAGAAAACCTTACACCCCCTGAGCCTTAAATTCCCGAGCCCTTTTACCCGATACTACAAAGATCCCTTGACCCTGCTGGCCCTTCTAGGACCTGCGGAGACGTAGCCGTGGCTCGAGCCAGATCTAACACTCACCAGCCCTGAAGTAGGCAGAAGCCCAAGACCCCGCATCCTTCTTTGTAAGGGCCTCAGTAGACCGTTATGCATGCAGCGCCAACAAGCCGAAGGTGTTCTTGCGCAACAGCAGGCGGGTCTCAGGGTGATCCCTTGCCGTAAATTCCATAGATGGTTTTCAAGTTTAAAGTACTCAGATGGGAGGCCTGGATGCAAAAGGTTGTTAACCCTTTTTGCTTGGAGGTTGCGGTATATGGGAGCTTCCGAAAATTAGGGGTACCTTATTTTGGGGTCCTTATATTAAGGATCCTATTATTTAGGGTACTATATCAGGGTCCCCTATCTTCAGAAACCCCCATATAGAGGGCTTAAAGGCTTAACTTCAGCAGCTGAAGCTTCAAGAGGCTTTATTGAACTGGAGCTTGACGATGGAGGGTCGAAAGATGGAGACTTGAATATTTCGATGAGGGCTTCGGGTTTCGATACTCAAAAATACATTCGGTAACTTTAAGGTACGTTTCCAGATATTCAGGTCCCGAATAGAGGGGTCTGAATATTTTGCAACAGGATACCGTTATAGTCACGACGATATACAATATAATCTTCCACGGAAACCATGTTCTATGTACCCACGCCCCGATGTTATGGCTATGGCTCGGGGGGGGGGGTCCCTGTGAGGACCCTAGGATAGACGTCGGCCCCGGCTCCTCTTGGGGAGTTCTCTAATTTAGGGTCCCTTCTAGGGTCCTTTTTATAAGGGTGCGTATTAAAAAAGGGGGACCTAAAAAGGGACCCTAATTCGGAGAACTACCCTCTTGGGGAGTTCACAGTAATAAAGACGGTTTCGAGCATACGAGTTGGAAGTAAAGATTACCATCCTTTAGTCCCTGCAAACCCTAAACCCTAAAACGTGTACCACCTATAGTCATGTTATAGCATGCTCCACAACCCAAGTCTCATATAGTCATTAGGTTGGGATGCTTCTCCAACTTTAGGGTCCCTCGCAGTGTCCTAATCTGAAGAGTGTACTACTCACGGCCAGACACTGGCATGACGCTGCATCTAGCTTCTTATCTGCCATGTTAGGG